CCATCACACCCAATACTAGCACTGCTAGCATAGAAATGAACAGAGAATGGTAAGGTGAGAGAGAGATGTCTACCTCACCAAACTGACAGCCCAAAACAATGCAGTCAAAAAAGATAATTAATGGTTGGGAGACATTTAGTTAGCCACCAGAAGCTCAAAAGGATGCAAAGCACTTCCTGAATGGTAGTGTGTTTGGAGGGAAGGAGAAAACGACGGTGGATTTGGAGGTCAGGAGCAGTTCCTGTCGGCAACAGAAACAGCAGCAGCCCAGCCCAGCCTGGGCAGCGCATGGTAAACACAAGGAGGGGCGGGGGGCCAACAGAAATAAGAGCAGCAGCGGGAGGAGGAGGGGCGGAGGACGCCACGCTCCACACGCTTCATAACATGGGACTGGCGCCCCGGGATGGAGCACTAGGAAGCCTCCGGGTGGTCATTGCCACGGGAGGAAGACCTGAGGCTCTGGAAAGCGGGGCGCCGCGCCACCTTCCCCAAAGGAGGGCTCTTGTGGGGTGGGGGTGGGAGGCCAAGTTCCCCCCAGCACAAGGCAGCCGTCCTTCAAGCAGCCAGTTCGCAGAGTCGCAGCTCGCCCCGGCGGGAAGACGAGCGACATGTTGAGCCCCCCGCGACCCCCCCTCCTGTCCTTCCAGCTTCCTTTGGGCGAGGCCAAGCACGGCAGGCTGCAAACAAGCCCCTCTCCTCGCTTGCAGCAAGTCATAAAAATAGCCCCGGGCCAGGAGGACAATCCACACGCTCCCAGGCAGGCTGGAAGAGGCGGGATTCCAGCAGCTCCTGCGCCCTCAGCCGCGGCGGCCGCGTACGTGAACGCCGCCTTGCCCCGCTCCCCAGGGCGCTTGTACTTTCCACGCGCGCCGTGTCCCCCCCGCACTCGCAGGCAGACACGCGCCACACGAGCGCGCGCTGCGCTCTTACCTCTCCAGTCCCGGCCTTGCACAGAGCGCGCGGGTCGAGCGCCACTGCCGCCGCCGCCGCCGCCGCCGCACCTGGACACCGACATCCGTGCGCCTCAGGCGAGCCGCCACCCAGCCGGGTTTCGGCGCTGCACCGGCTGCTGGGTTAGCGGAGCCCAGCCTCAGTCAGTCGCCGCCCCGAAGCGGGTGGAAGGAGGCAAGGAAACAAGCCCGGCAGCACCCCCTCTCTCCTCCCGGTTGCTTGGGCACGGCCGACGCCGCTCGCTATCCGGAGCTGAGAGGGTCCTTCTGAGGCGGCTCCTGAGCGCCGAGCAGGAGCATCTTGCTAAGGGCGCAAAGCCCCGGGAGAGGCTTCCCCCGCCTCGGCGTGGAGGGAAGGAGGGAGGGGGCGTGTGCGCGGCGGCGGCACTCCAGGCTCCGGCCGCTCCCGCCGCTCGGGCAAGCCGATTGGAGGGCTGGGACCAGAGGGGCGGGGAAAGGGGCGGGGAGAGCTCGCCACCATCATAACTGGCTCCTTCCGTACAGAAAGGTCCCAAAGCGCCTCGTGCATCACTAAGAGAAAAGCAGGAGGGGGGAACGGTTGGCAGAACGGCCACGGCTGGTTCTGGTCTACTTTGGGGAGAGAGGCTTCCTAGAACGAGAAATTTTTTAAAAAGCAAAGGTGTTGGTCCATAAGACTCAGTAAAGCAACACCACAAATAGCACTTCAGAGATGTTCAGTCAAGCAACAGAGTTATCAGGACTGACCGAAATGACACGCAATGTGAGCAACCTTCAGCAGGCTGCAAATTGCGCCAGAGGGCTGGGGACCCTAAGGGTCCAATGGTAACCGCAGGCCTCCGTCTGGCTCACATAGTTTTCTGCAGGCTCCAGCCATCCCTAGGTCACATCCAGGGGCAAAACTAGGTTTGTTTCACCCAGGCCAAACACAGTTTAGTACACACACCCCACAAGCATGTGCATATGCACACAGGCCAAGAGCCTCACTGACGCCCCTCTGGAGGCTTCACCTGGGGCAGGAAACCCAGCTACCCCTGCCCCATAGCTACTGCACTGCCACATCCCATACCAACCCTGCTTGTGCCGCTTTTAGTGTGTTTGCCTAGCTGAGATGTGGGACCTTGAGCTCTGATAATGGCTCTGGCTTGCCCAGATTGAGCATAGAGATGGGTGTGTGAGCAGCATGTGCAGACACTCGTCTAGTGTACAAAGGGAAAAGCCCCCTTCATCACTCTGCCCACTATTGGCATGTGGCCCCTGGAAGGTTGCCCAGAAGGAAGGGAGGCCATTGGGCTGAAAAAGCGTCTCCACCCATGTGTGTGTCTTACACAAAGCAGGGTGGGGAGAAGAAATCTACCATGACTTGCCTTGGAAGCTGTTTTCATAAGGCTGTAACCTATGAAAGGGGCATAAGCAAAACAGTGCAGTACTTGGTTTGCGTTCAGAAGATCCCCCAAACCAACCCCTGACATCTCCAAATGGAGTTGCGAAAGACTGCTGGGGTCTGAACCCCTCAAGAGTTGCTGACAGCTGCTATAGGCTAGGTTTCAGGCCTGTTAAGCCATTTTGAGCGAACCAGCACCAGCCCACGTGCTCCTCTCCACTACAATGTTAGGCAACAGAGGTGAATTTAGGGGAGCACGACTGATTTGGCCACACTGGGAGCAGAGACTCAGGGGCACCACAGCTGTTATTTAGAATGGAACACGGAAGGTAAGGGATGCTGAATTTTGGCGATGCAGAGAGCGCTCCTGAAATTTGAGATCCCAAAGTCCACAACTGTAAGCAACCTTATGGGACAAAGTGAATGCATGGCTTGAAAAATAGGAAATGTGAAAGTAACCAAATCCCTATTTATTCATACGCCATCCCTATTTGTACATATGATATTGATTGATACATCAATCCCTACTTTATTTATAGACTCTCTACATTCTGTTTAGTATAGGTTGTGAACCAAATGCTTCTGCTAGTGTGCCTAACAGTACTCCAGCAATGGGCACAGTGCCACCACTGAAAGTGGACCTTAATGTAGCCTTGTAGCAACAGCACTTGGAATAATTCTTGGCTTGGCGGAGCTTTTGATAAACTTGTCTCAATGCCATACATACTTCTATCTAAGAATAGGAGGGAGCTGTGTTCCAAGAGTGGAAACTATGATAAAGGTGATGACATGTTTGGGTAGTGAAAATATAATTAACCTTGCATCACTTTATCAACACACAGCATTCCACTGGATTGCTTTGCTGGGATTATATAAAGCAAAACCCTATATAAATTGAGGCCTGGGTACTTTTTATTGTTGTTAGCCGCCCTGAGCCCGGCTTCGGCTGGGGAGGGCGGGATATAAATAAAAATTATTATTATTATTATTACTTTTTGGACTGCCTTGTGTTAATAAAAGAAGGGCACAATAAATGAGGGGCAGGCCAAGCCCACCCCCTCTCTGCAATAATGTGCTCACTACCCCCCCCCCACACAACCCCAAAAGTGTCACCTGAGTGACCAAGTTCACTGCCACTCTTATTACATTCACTTTGGGGGGAGTTTTTAATGTTCTATTTAAAACTGTGCTGTGCAGTAGGAGTCTCAGCCATCAGGTATCTTCCTAGCTTGCTGCTATCTGCCCACTGCCACTGCTTCCTGGTCATTTGTTGAGTGGCATTTATGCAACAGCCCCAGACCTTTGCCTGGTAAGTTCTGTGGCAACAGCACCACTACTATTTGATGAGATGAAAGTCATAGAAACCTTAGAAGTGATCACATCATCTTGGGCTTCCCAGTAAAGGGGGGAAAACACTAGTAACGTCTGGAAAGCAAATTTCCAAAGTTAAAAAAAAAAAGAGGCTAGAAACCTCAAGAAAATTTGGGAGAGGCTTCCTATAGAGACACTGGATGGTGTTGCACTCCCTCTGAAAGGAACTGGTACATAGTTTAGGGGTGCTTCTAGATCTACCTTTGTCCTTGGAGACCCAGGTAATCTCTGTGGCAAGGCACCCTACTACCAATGCCAACTTCACACTCCCTTGAATAGGGACAGCTTGTCTAGAGAGAGACTCATGCATTGGTAACCTTACAAGCAGATTACTGCAATGTGCTCTATGACTGTATAAAGCTTTCCTTGACAATGATCTAGGATGGTACAGCCTCATGTGCACATAGTACACCTGTACTGCTGACAAAATGGCAATGACTGCTAGTTACTTATCAAGGTCATGTTGACTTACAAAGCCCTGAAGACCATTGGGTCAAGTAACCTGAAATACTGCCTGGCCACATATAGATCTTCTGCATGAACCCTGCGAAAACCTTATTGGTAGCACTACATTCTACTGACTATAATTTGACAACAACTCTGAAACTGGCCTTTTCCTGTCATCAGCTCTATGTTTGGACTGCTCTTCCTTCTGCCATATGGAATGCTTCCTCTATTATCTGTTTTAGATATCTTTTCAAGACTTATTTACACAAGCTTTCCCAGACCACTGAATTTGCTTATTGAAGCTGGACTCTGTTTGACAACTTTGGATTTGTGTCTGTTGTTGTAATCATATGGGGATTAATGGTTTTATATGGTTTGTACATATTGACTTGTGTATGTAGCTTAGAGATTTGTCTTGGATATTATTAAGCAGGTCATGAATGTTCTTAAATAAAGGATACGTAGGGGTTTCTTAAAAGTGAGTTGTTAAAGGCTCAATCCCAAACCATTCCAGAAAGCAAGACAATGGAGAAGCACATAAAGAAACCAAGGTGGCTGTGTAAGGGAGCTTTCTGGGAAACTTTGGTTTTTAAAAAGGGGCATACATATGATGAAATGGAAGGATGGGTGAAGCAACAAATACACACGAGTAGCCAAAGCTTGCAGGGAGAGTGGCAGGAGGACTTAAACCAAGAATAGGGTCATTACTTTCAGGGGGTGGAGGAAAAACACCTAAAGCTCTGGTGAACAGTGAGGCAAAGCATATTGACACAACTTCCTTTTGTTGGGCGGACGAGCAGGCAGGAGTATGTTTCTATAACCTTCAGATAAGAACACTGTCTCTGTGACCACACCAAAAAGAGAAGTCATTTTTCACTAGAGCCTGGAAACACAGTTTATTACTGATTTTTAGACACGTATTATCTGTATTCTAGGAGCAGATACTAAATGGAGTATCAGCAGGAATAAAAGTTAAAAGCAGAAACTGTTTATATTTGTAATACATTCACCAACAAAACAGCACTGGGAGGAAATAAGAAAAATCAAGCAACAGCTTATAGCCTGCACATGATTGTTAAAAAACAATACTAAGACAAGTCATGTCAGTGCCATATTAGACATCTTCAGTATTTAAATAGCCTACAGTTAAAGTATATCATATTCTCCAAGTATCCTGGAAAATATTTGTATTAAACAATCAAGTATTAAAAGGTCAAGTAGTAGTTAACATGTTTAATTTCTTCTCCTTAAGGATGGTAATTTTAATCATTCCATTCATCGCCATTCTCCAAGTCAGATTCTTCAGTATCTGCAAGAAAAGGTTGAGGATAGTAGTGTATTCTATTGAAGCCAATATGTACTGGTGTTCCATTATGCCATTAATTAAAAATATTGGAGATCATTGCAATTTAATAGCATTGTAATTTTAAAGTCATTGTAATGTGATTAATAGCATAACCCTCTATGGGGTTCAATGGGGCTTACTTTCAGGAAAGTAGGTAATTCTAGCCTTACTTGTCCTGGGAGCAAGCCCCATTCAGCTAGGATTGTGGTGCAAGTTTTGCATGAATGGATGGGCTGCAAATAACTAAAAGGAGATTAATACGAGCATGACATTGTACATAAGTAATGCAGAAATTACAGCACTGAAAAAATCCTTGTATTAGTTTTGTAAACCTCAGGTTCCTCTGCAAACCTCAGGTTCCCCCAAGGACAGCAGTATCTCTCTCTTGTTTCTCAGTGTCTGTTTCAGCTCAATTTCCTGCAGCATTCACCAACTTTCCTATTAAAGGTAGTGATCTTACCATATAGAAGGCAGTGGAATACATTTTGCCTCTTGCTTCTCAAATGCCTTGTGACTCGAATGTTTTGGCTCCCGAACACCGCTACCCCAGAAGTAAGTGTTCCAATTTGCAAACGTTCTTTGGAATCCGAATGTCAGACGCAATTTTCGCAGCTTCCGATTGAGTGCAGGAAGCTCCTGCAGCCAATCGGAAGCCACGCCTTGGTTTCCGAATATTTTCAGAAGTCAAACCGACTTCTGGAACAAATTCCATTCAAGAACCAATGTACAACTGTATTGGAACTGGAGCATTAGTCAGCGTTCCATCTCATAAAAATTGAGTAAACAAGTATGACTAACATTGGATGTCACCCATATTTTTGAAACCATCTTTGGGAAACTCCCTTTTTGGGGCTGGGGACAGGGTATAACATTTTTTAGATAAATAAAAACAAGATAGAAGTGTGTACAATGTAACCACATAAAATGTCAGTTACCTGCCTAAAGAATTTGTAACCAAGATCAGTGTCCCAAGAGTGTGCAAAGAATAATATGTGATCTTTCATTCACAGTTTCTAGTATCAAACAAAAAAGGTTCTTTTGTTTCTTTCTAGTACAGATAATAACTTTTATAATCCCCCCTTTTTTTAAAAAGGCAGGTAGTTGTGTAGGACTCTGATTTTGTAATAAAATATTGCTTATTTGATTGAGTAAACATATTAACCTTTTATATCTAGAAGCAATAGTTAAAGGCAGGAAGAGATGCATAACTTTCCCTAGTCCACTGAATGTTCTCTAAAGCTACATGGTCTCATAAAAACATCTGGAAGAGGCCTGGTAAAAGTAGAATTATTCCTTTAAAAAATTTACAAACACCAGGGAGAGATGAGTTTGTGGTTCCTGTTCCTATCCAGCTTTCTAAATATGACATTGCTTGCTAATTGCTGCTACATCATAAATGTCAGCTTCAGCTTCTGTCCTCTCTGATTCCTCACATATGGCTTTCAATCTGTCATAACCATCGTACTCCCCCCCCCCATTACCATCAGACTTAGAAAATTAAATAGAATGTGACCTCATATGGTGCCACGTTTATCCCAGACTTCACCCAATATTTCAGCTGTTTCTAGCAATCGCTTTTTAGGAACAGTTCAAGTTCAATATCCTTGCCATCTTCACACATTTCTAACTGACATAATGAATGAATATTCAACATTTTAAAAGGGAAAGGAAGCACTGGCTTTTCAGAAGCGTATTCACCCAGTTCTTGGGGGATCACTTACTGTACTTTGTTCCAGTGAAAATTATTGAACAGATGCTTGTCCGAAGGAACAATAAAGCAATATAGTTTTAAGTTACATGTTGAAGGGAGGGGGGGGTTCCAAGTCATCTACCTGAAAGGTATATTGCCTTGTGTCTCTTCTGAACAACATCCTTAAGAGCAGCAACTATGTCGTCATCAATGGGAGGCGTTGGATTCTGAGCCACCTGTTTTCAAAGTTCAAAAATGAACAGTGATGTAGCTTTTAGAAGTCAAATCTGCTTTGGAACTATCAGCATAACTAATCAGCCATCTGGTTCTTTTTAGAAGTTTTTATTCTGTCAGGATCAAGTAGCTTTGTGTCTGCTCCAAGAAGCAACACAAACATCTAGGCAAATTCATGATTAGGCTGTCAGTGGCTAGTTTGTTTATTTATTGCATTTCTATCCCATCCGTTTTCTCCTAAGGTGGGGGACATGGTTCTTTCCCCCATTTAATCCCCAAAACAACCTGGTGAGGGAGGTTAGGCTGAGAGTCAACCAGTGAAGTTCATGGCCAAGTGGGGATTTGAACCCTAGTCTTCCAGGTCTTAGTCTGACCAATCTAACCACTACACCACACTGGCTGTCAAAAGTAGTTGTGATGGCCATAAAGCCTCTAATGCTCTGCCTCCATGTACCAGTTACAGGAGTGGGCTCCTCCCTCTCACAATGATTGCAGTGCCACCCACTGCTTCTTTCAACCCCCTTCTCAAAATTTACCTTCTCCGTTAGTACTTCGGGACAAGTCACTGGTCATCTTTGTGCCTTGTTGTATCCAAGCCTAAACGCACATAGCTGCAAAAACCTCACATTCCCTCTCCCCTCTGCCAACTTCCCTCTTTTCCTTCTGTTGTCTCCTAAAATGGAAACCCTTGGGAGGGCAGGAGAGACCGTGTTCTCTCATTCTTCAACAAGCACCATGTACATAGATGGTACTATATAAAAACATTTCTTCAGATGAGTTTTACCATTCCAGGATTAATAGTACAAAACGCTCATTTCCAAGCATAATTTCAGCACTTATTTGTCATACTTTTTAGTTTTCGCTGCCAGCAGATTGAGAAGGATCAAATATTTCATTGCTATGCTTTGTCTTTCCCACCCATCTTTGACCTTTTGTCTTTCCCATCATCTGCACTCTATCTTTAAAGCAGTATCACACCACTTTAAACAATCATGGCTTCCCCCAAAGAATGCTGGGTACTGTGGTTCTTTAAGGATGCTGAGAGTTGTTAGATGACCCTTATTCCTACAGAGGCCTCCAATTCCTAGAGTTCCCTGGGAATACAATGGTACCTCGGGTTAAGTACTTAATTCGTTCTGGAGGTCCGTTCTTAACCTGAAATTTTTCTTAACCTGAGGTACCACTTTAGCTAATGGGGCCTCCCGCTGCCGCTGCACCAGCACTGTGCGATTTCTGTTCTCATCCTGAAGCAAAGTTCTTAACCCGAGGCACTATTTTTGGGTTAGAGGAGTCTGTAACCTGAAGCGCCTGTAACTCAAGGTACCACTGTACACATTGGTTGTTAAATCACTCTGAGATGGGGCCTTAATGTCTCAGTGTAAAACAAAAGTACCGGTATATCTCCATCCATCTTCTTTCTTGCAGCCATGCCATTGAGGAGATATAGTTAGCAAGCCTCCATTTTTAGCTATGTTGGAGAAGGAAGTTTACTACTATACGTCAAAAACTATAAATTGTGTTTCTGCATCTGCACAAGGAGAAATAAGACTATTTAATAAAAGTTTCAGAAGTAGCAGTTTTGTACCTTCAAGTCTCTTTTCCTCCTATCTTCTGCAAGTACCGGTAGTCTCAAAGGGCCACATAATTTTATACAGAACTTGCAATGAAAGTTATTTTATTCCTCCATAAGCTTAGATCTCTGTTTTATCATACATGGCAATTATACCTAGGCAATCATCTCCACTTTTATTGCTGTGTTGACTCAGGGGCCTCAGTCTTGTTTAGTATGCATATTTGAATTGTTCCCATTTTCAAGCAGCATAGAGAAAATAGTTGGTTTTAGAAAGGATATCAGAAGAGTACAACAGCAATAAGCAATATGTATGTGGTGGACAGGAAAACAACTTGATTAACAAATAATTTAGAGCAAAGAGATCTATATTACTATGGTCACACTGTATGTGTTCTCTGGACAGCCCAAAGGATTTTAAAGGTGGAAATTGTTTCTCTTCTGAAAGCCCCAGCCCCATTATCATTGACCAGTTTTAAATCTGAGTACTTGGACTGCTCTATTTCAGTTTACATTTTATAGTTAAATCTGCAATCTCTTTTCCTTCACTTTGCCGTTGTATTTTTATGCTGCTGTGATTTATATTGTTCATTGCCTCCTTTAAAAAGGTGGAGTGTAAATGCCCACGTACATATTTTTCACTCTATAAGACTCACTTTTCCCCTCCTAAAAAGTAAGGGGAAATGTATGTGCATCTTATGGTGCGAATGCAGGTGGAAGGCTCTGCTCAGCACTCCCTTTAAAGAGCCGTGTGGAGCGTGCGTGCGGCTCTTGGGGGCTTTTCCCCAAGGAGGGAGAAGGGCGGCCCTTCTCCCTCCTCGGGGAAAAGCTCCCAAGAGCTGCACACACGCTCCACGTGCTCTTCAAAGGGAGTGCGGCTCTTGGGGGAGCCTTCATCCCACTGCCTGGGAGAGGCAGCGTGCGGCTATCCCATAAGCCAGGACAGCAAGCGGGATTGCTGTGCAGCGATCCCGCTTGCTGTCCTGGCTTCTGGCTTAGCCCCCTGTCCCTTCCCCCACCTCCCAGAAAAGCCCCCAAGAGCCACACTCCCTTTAAAGAGCCACCGGAGTGTGTGTGCGGATCTTTGGGGCTTTTCCCCGAGGAGGGAGAAGGGCAGCCCGTCAGTGACAGGCTGCTCTTCTTTCTCCTCGGGGAAAAGCCTGCAAGCGCCACACACACGCTCCAAGCGGCTCATGAAAGGGAGCGCTGAGCAGAGCCTGGGATGCATACAGGCTCTGCTCAGCGCTCCCTTTAAATAATATTTTTCCCTTGCATCCCCCCTCTAAAAACTAGGTGCGTCTTATGGAGCAAAAAATGTGGTATTTATTTTTATTCCTAAAATAAATCATCTTCCTGCCCACAAGGCAATCATCAACAAATACAACAATACAGATAAAAACAGCCAGGCAAAACATAAAAAGAAAAGCCTCTTAAGAAACGAGCTTAGCACCCTTGCCTACATTAGGTAACATAAGTGAAGATCAGACTAAGGCCTGTGCAGTCTAATATGTTCCCTCTGTGGCCAGTAGGGTGGGCCAAGTGTCCTACTTTACAGAAGGACCATCAGAAGATGCAGTGGTACCTTGGGTTACAGACGCTTCAGGTTACAGACTCCGCTAACCCAGAAATAGTACCTTGGGTTAAGAACTTTGCTTCAGGATGAGAACAGAAATCACGCGGTGGCAGTGGGAGGCCCCATTAGCTAAAGTGGTGTCTCAGGTTAAGAACAGTTTCAGGTTAGGAACGGACCTCCAGAACGAATTAAGTTCTTAACCCGAGGTACCACTGTAATTCTCTGTTTCAAGGGCTTTCTAGCCCTAGTTGGTTTAAAGATAAAGAAGCATGAGAAGAGGTATTGAAAGTGCTCATCAACAGCACCTTCACAGAATACCAAGTAGGCACCCAGACCAGTCTTCCCCACTGTGGTAAGATGCATTTCCACTTAAATTGCAGTCATTATCTCTAAATTTGCGTCAACACAAAGGAAATATCAATATGCAAATCCTTGTCTTTTTCCTGGTGATTCATTTCCTTCTTTTTGGTAACAGGGTGCCTATGGGAATCCTTCAAACTATCCATGAACTCATTGTATTAGATAATTTGCATATATTCTGAATGATTGTCTGGGGCAGATTGTAAAGAGATCCCCCCTCCCCCACACACCTCTGGCAATTGTAGTCTGTTATTTATGAATTAAATTGCCAAACAGCATTTTTTTTTAAAGGGCACATGATATAAAACCACCATGCCCACATAAAGCATTCTCTGAATCAGAAAGCAAGGACCAATCCAAAAAATTATTTTCTACTTTCCACAAGATGAAGTTGACCACATCCACGCAACTTAAGTCAGCCCCACTAAATCTGATTTTTAAAAGATGGCCAGCCACACAGCAAGGACTGCCAATGTTTGGAGACTTTTAGACACATTATACTTAAAGTTACAACATAAAATTTAGAGAAATGCAGGGTTTGAATATTTATTGCTGCATAATGTTAATTCCATATTTTTTCCCTCTCTAAACAAGTTTCAGTCATAATTAAAATAATTTGTTAGACAAATCGGCCAGAGGGGCTTTTATTTATTGAATTTGCAAAGTGTTCTAATGTTCCAAGACTTCTAAGAAACAACAATCCATTTTTAGTCAGCTCCCAACAGCTGAAGACTAGCAAATTAGAAACAAAGCTTTGTCTCTTAGATGAGAGCTGCCATCACCCCAGGCGTTTTATCTAGCAAGATGCATGAACTCATTCTGCTTTCTTCTTGGCTTCAAGAAAGCAGCTGAGGTAATTAGCCTGTCACTGGGACTTAGGACTGATTTTTATTTTATTTTTAACATAAGAGATTAGAATAAGCCTCCAGTTATCAAGGTCCTTTTGCTTGTGTAACCAGAGCTTGTGCAAGTGCAGAATTCACGTTATATAGCTGGCTTGCATTTGCCTCACTTCCTGAAGGCAACTGAAGACAGCTTACTATAAGCACCCTGAGGATTTCTTGTTTCAGCTTGCATGCATTTAGAAGAGCTAGTCAGCAATGTCAGGTACAAACACAGGAAATTCAGACCATCTACGGCAGAGCTGGGCAACCCATACCCCCAACTGTCCCAATTTGACTGGGACACCCTGGATCCTGAAACGTCCTGTGCTCTCTCCTTGCACCTGTGCACCTCCTCCTCGTCACTTGGCCCAAATGGCGCTAAGCTTTCAAAAGTACGCCGTGAGCCTGGCTCCTTCTGCTTAACAGACTTTGCTGAAGCCAATAACATAAAGTTGTCAAACTAGTCTCTTTGTCAAGTTTATGGCGTTAGCCAAGTCTATTCTACAGAATCTGTTCTATGGTCTTTTTCTACAGAACTAGCTCATTGTTCTGCTAATCTGCACACTGGTTCACAGCCATCTTTCATAATCTGCTGTGGAGATGGGTGAAGCTATGGCAGTGTGGCCTGCATCAGATCGGTGTGGTACCACTGCTAGTTTATCTTGTAACATTCTATTTCATGGTATCACAGTCCTAGTCCTGGTCCAAATGTCCTAATAAGTATACAGTATTCACTTACCATAGCAACAGCTATATTTATCTAATGGGATACACTGAATTCTCCAGTGGCACCCTAACCTCACATATAAGAACAACGGTTCCAACACTGTGGTATTGTTGGCCTAATGCAGCTCCTACACTGAACAGTACCCATGTACATTTGGAACAAGGCCCTGTACAGTGGAACAAGCTGTGCATTTTCCCTCCTTCTCTCAAAATGAGACAAGGTTCATTCCCAATCACATCTTACTACTCATAACATCTTTCTGCCCACCTGCTGATGCCATTAAGTTAAACAAAACAAAATGGAGAGAGTGATACCACCCACTTAGGCAGCCCAAAGTTCAGCGTCTCCCATCTTCTAGGTCAGCCATCCCTAAACTTGGCCCTCCAGCTGTTTTGGGATTACAACTTCCATCATCCCTACCGGGGCAGTCTTAAGCATATGGGGCGCTGGGGTGCAAAGATCTGCCCAGCACTTGGATGGAGCAGCCACAGCCAGGCACCTCGCACACCACAGCTTCTCTCCGCCCCAGCCGGCAGCCTCTTTCTGCTACAGAGGAGCTGTGCGCATGCAGCCCAGGTGAGAATAAGGGTGGAGCTGGCCGGCCACCTCAGTGCCTTGCAGCAGAAGAGCCCGCAGCGCTCCGACGGGCTCTTCCCCGGACTCCAACTCTCGGGCCCCAGACTTTCGGCCTGGCACCCCTGAGAGCCCAGCGCCTGGGTGCCCCGCACGCCTTGGGCCAACGGTTAAGACAGCCCTGATCCCTAGCTAACAGGACCAGTGGTCAGGGATGATGGGAACTGTAGTCCCAAAACAGCTGGACGGTCGAGTTTGGGGATGCCTGTTCTAGGTAATCCCCAGCTTCCAAACAGAGGACAGAGATAAGAAGCATTACCTCTGAGATATGGCAAACAGGTTTATTAAGTGAATGCTTATTATGTGCTCACCATTTTGGCTTGGTTTTTAGACTTAAAAGTTCACTAGAAAATTAGCTGAAGACATAGGCACAAAGCTTGCATTTTGAGAAGTGTTGTTTTAAAAGCCAATTCAGGGGATGGGGAGGAGATTAACAGGAACGCTTAAGCTATCACCAGATAACCAGTGCAGTATTGAAATAAAAGATACTTGCTGGTTTCAGTTGTGTCCCTTTTCTGATCCGACTCATTAGAATGTTGCGGGTGAAAGGAGTTAGTCGGTTGTCACTCTTTGACTTTTTCAGCTGCACGTCCTTCAAATTTTGGATCAAATTGTGTTGAGATACCCTTTTGGAAGGAGACGTGCAAGGTGCTGGAGATATGACAACTGCAGGGAGATCAACATAATGAGACGACTCATCTGATTTTGATGTGGAGCTAGGGGCTGCTAGTACATCCTTAAATCCATCCTTCACTCCTAAACTACGGGAGTCTTGTTTATTGCTTGGGCTGCAAGTGCAATCCAGCTCCGTGGGCATTGCAGGATAAAGCAGAGGATGGTCAAGGGTTTTTTTCAATAAGCCTGCAGAAAGACAGGTGTGAAACAGGTAACTGTGTAGCTATTCAGCTCCTCAGCCCATTCAATTAAAGTTTTCAACACAGCTGTTTTCTTCCAAAGCCCCACCAAGTTAAGCATGAAAGCAAAGTCCCAAGTAAAGCAAGATTAAAAAAAAAAATTACCAAGAGCAATATTGAATTTGATTGTTGATGTCCATGTACAAAGCTACTGTTACTTACATCCCAAACACAGATTTCTTTATTTTTACAGTTTCGAAATCCACATATGGATTCAGGGCTATGCACGAAAAATGCAAATATCCACATACAAAAATTAAAACCAAGTTTATGCATTCTAAAAGGGTGCTTGCTTATGAATTGGTCAAGGTAGTTAGAACAGCTTGAAAGGTTTATTCTAATTATACCAGTTCTGTGCGATCTGCAGGAATTGCCCGTTAGTTGCTGGTTACTTCTAAAGCCCTGAATGGTTTGGGACCTGCTTTCTCATCTGATTCCTCAGCACCCCAAAGCATGCATGGTGGTATCATGGGCCCGATGTCACCAGGGCTGGATCTAGACACCTCAAAGAAGTGTTTCAGTTAAATGCGTTGTAAATTTAAAAAGGGAAAACAGGTAGAGGAATTCGGGACTCCACAGCGCCATCTGGTGGCACAATGTTCTATAGCATACACAACACATATAAATCACTTTTCCAATCTAGCAAAGTCCCAGGTGGGATGGGGCGGGAATGGCAGGATCCGTCAGAGGGGGAGGAAGAAGCCCCAGAGATGGGGGGGCAGAGGCAGTTTGAACAGTGATCTGGATTAGGGTTCCATCCTGCGGCCCTAGAACATCCCAGTAGGCAAGGGGAAGCTGGTCTCCACCATGCCTCTGAGGAACAAGGTTCCCACAGTAGCCAGGGAGCCATCCTGCCAATCCATGGAACTAGCCAGATTGGAAATGGAAGAGAGAGTCAGAGGGTTGGACTAGAGTGCTCTTCACTCAAAGTGTGCCATCATCAGTGCAAGCGTGAACAGATCCAGCCCTCAGTTGCAAGCATAGTCTTTTCACCTGGGATGGGTATGGCACAAATAACAAGCCCCGCCAAGCACCAATAAAAGCAGAGGATGAAAGACAGGACAGGTGGTGGCTAGGGCCTTTTCTGTAGAACAGCCCCACCCTGGTGTTCACTTTTTGAATACAAGACAGGGACTATTAGGTAAGCCTTTAAAAAAACATCTTTAGAACTATCAATGGTACAAGGGGGCAGGGAAAGCTGTCTACCCTGAGTTTCTCACAGCACAGCACGGTACAGTCACTAGCCAACTGGTGGCTGCCATACTTGTGCAACCACATTCCATACTGCGTTTGTATGCAGCAAGGCAGCCAGTGACTATACCAATACATTTGACCGCTTGGATAAATGTTTACATAACATTAATACAGAAAAATGTTTCCACTACCTACACAGGTGCTCAAGTGCAATACCTGTCGCCTTTGCCTCTTTCAATACTGCTTCTACACCCCCACATTTCTCAATTACTTCCAAAATCTTCTTTGATGTTCTCCTGTCCTTCAGGTGGTCCTGCGTTATGCCAGCCTTAGCAAAGATCATCTTTAGTTCAGGATCTAAGCTGGTCTGCAAGACAAGGTACAATTGTAAAACTGAGCCGCGTGTTTCTTAATCATCAACCCCCAATACTTCCCATATAGAAATGGTTAGGACTGAGTTGTAAAGCATGTCGAATTCAAAACGATTTTCCTGGGTTTTTTAATGTGGCCTCTCATTAACTAATCCTGTAAACTAGTTCATTCGTCTTGCTAGGGAACCTGGAAACTAGTTGGAGGTGCTGAGTATTGAAAGAGATAATTAAGTGTCTCTTACTTAACCAACGGGATGCGGGTGGCACTGTGGGTTAAACCACAGAGCCTAGAACTTGCCGATCAGAAGGTTGGCGGTTCGAATCCCCACGACAGGGTTAGCTCACATTGCTCGGTCCCTGCTCCTGCCAACCTAGCAGTTCGAAAGCACGTCAAAATGCAAGTAGATAAATAGGTACCACTCCGGTGGGAAGGTAAACGGCGTTTCCGTGTGCTGCGCTGGTTCGCCAGAAGCAGCTTAGTCATCCTGGCCACATGACCCGGAAGCTGTCTGTGGACAAACGCTGGCTCCCTTGGCCAATAAAGCGAGATGAGCGCCGCAATCCCAGAGTCAGTCACGACTGGACCTAATGGTCAGGGGTCCCTGTCCCTGTCCCTTTACCTTTACCTTTACTTACCGGTAACCAACAAGTCCCATCATTATTTGAGGAAAACCATAAGCAAACCATAAGGGGCAAATAAACAGAGCTTTGGTATAGACAAGGTTGTGCAACTGTGTCCAAAAAAGAGAGAGGATGTAACGGCTACAGAGCTTTGAAAACAGGGCTCACCACCAGCCTGTGACACATTTGTAATTTTGAAGAAGTGCAATGGGCACCAATCAGAAAATGACATAACATAAAAAGGCTGCCTCATCTTAAAAGGGCATAAACATTAAATGATGTAGACATGCTCTATTCAGTGGAAAATAAAGCATCAGTCAGCACTGCACTGACAGAGAGAAGGTCTTTGCATCTCACCTGTGTTGGGGAAGGAAGAAAAAGTAGGTGTCCAGGCTTTGTATTTACTGAAAAGTGGGTCTGTTTAAGGGAATGTATCTGAAGCAGGAAAGACCAGGCTATAAATAACAACAACAACAATTTATTATAATTTATTTATACTCTGCCCATCTGGCAAGTGCAAACACAACTAAGAAGAGCAAACAGTCTCTCGTGCCTTGTGATTTTGGAGATGGCTATTTACCGAGACATTTTGCAGGAGACATAGGAGGCAATGGTGGGCAAACTGCTGTGCACAAAGCACCACTTTGGAGACCCCTGCCTTTGAAGAAAAGGGCCTTTCTTTGCATGCGTACTTGCTCACAAAAAAGCTTGCATAAAGGTAAGGCTCAAACAAGTTAGAATGTCGCTCTCAGATCATGAGAGAAAGCTCGTTTTTTGTAGCAACCATTTTAAAAAAGGAGAGAAAAAGAGGAAGCATTGATAGTTGAGCAAGCAATAATCCACAGCAATTACTTACAGCAAAACCAGTTTGGGGACTCCATCCAATGTGACAGAGATGTCTAAAAGACAGATTAGCATTTTTAGCAGGTATCACTGAAGACTTGGATTGTCAAAGCAAGCATATCAAAGCAAGCATGTTAGTTAGAATACTGTAGTACAAACTCAGGGCCGAAACTAGGCTTTCTGTCACCCAGGTCAAAGACCCAGTTTGGCACACACACCCCAGATGCATGTTTGTGTACACACACACACACACACACACACACACACCTCAACACATTTATTTGTAAAGGGCATAAAAAATAGGCAATATATTATTTGAATACAAAGGAATCCTATGACCAAAGGGGAAATGAGCATCCCTTCCAGTAAAAGCAAATTGTCAAAAGTAGAACTTCCATGTGTAGCAATTTATCTTGAGGTCAGGTTTTGAATTGGATTTATTTGGTCCACAGGATCATTAAAAGACTGCATTTTCATAAGATCAGCTAAGAGGCTGTCTCTGAGGCTTTTTGCCACCCATCCCTCTTCTTGGTTCTGGGCAAACCATTTCAAGGAATTTTGACATGTAAATTTACTCCCAAGTAAGCTTCAACAAGATTCCTTTCCAGCTCTGACAAACTGCTGTTATTTATTTTATTAATACTGGTAAATTTACCAACTTCTCACATGGAGGCTTATTCTAACAACAGGCCTCTCAACAAACAATAGCCAGGAGCATAAGAGATTACAGCAGATTGCATAAAAACAAAAAATCATCTTCTTATAGGCTGTTAATGATTCAGGTAAGCAACACTGTTCCCCAGGTCAGCAACTAAGTTCCCCATCTTAGTTGAGAACCAGTTGATGCAGTTAGTTACCTCTACATGAGAAGCAACCCAAGTTAAGATGCAACATGGCACTAAGGCAGGGTTGATCACGGAACAAGAACTAGTCAGACCTGCCTCCTGTGCCTTTAACACCAACTTCATTGGGGTGGGCGGAGGGGACTTCAATTTTACAGTATCTGCTCATGTCTACAGATCAAGCTACTGTTAAAGGCATAGCAGAAAGTTACAGCCTCAAAGCTGCTCCTTTAGCACAATGTGGACTCTGCCAACAGTTGCCTGGAATCCACATTAGCTGACCTGAAGCACCAGCCGTGCAATAACCCTTCTGTTAGAGAAGAAATTAGACTGTATAATGATTAGCAAATACTCTGAATAGTCAGCAGTATGATGCTGAATTTTTAAAAATTGATTTATTTATATTTTTATACTTCTCTTCCACCTTTTTCCGCAAGGAGCTCATCTAATCTCCCCTTTCTCATCTAATCCCCCACAACAACCCTGTGAGGTAAATTGAGCTGAGAGGAAGTGGCTGGCCTGAGGTCACCCAGTGAGCTTCATGGCTGAGTGGGGATTTAAACCCTGGTCTCTCAGGTCCTTGTATAATAATACCTTTATTATCAATGTACGACCTCTGTACAATGAAATTCAACAGATTGAAGTCCCTTCTCTTGTATACAAGGACATCTCTTTCAACTTTCCAGCCAATAACTTCGGGTTAGCATCTTCCAAATCTTGTGCAAATAAGTTCTTTACTCATAGGCTGCAATGCAAGAACAGCCCTGCTGGATTAATCCAAAGGCTTGTTTAGTCCAGCCTGATCCTTATGGGAAGCCCAAAAGCTGAGCTCAAGTACAACAGCTCTATCCTCACTTCTGATTCCCAACAGTTGTATTCACAGTGGTGGAGGAAGGGAGTGGGGGGGGCAGCGCACCACCCCAGGACGTGTGCCCACCTGCTCTCTGCCCCCCAGGGCCGGAGCATGAAGCTCTGCCACTGTGTATTTGAAGCCATACTGCCTAGATTCACAACTAGTATGTGTGAAAGAATCCGCCACCAAAGCAATTTTCTTTCATTCATTACAACCTGAAAAACCTGAATGCAGTGCTTTCCAGTTCACACAGTTTGGTTCAGTTCAGTGATGTGCATGCATGCAGGAATCCAACTTAAGCTACTTGATTTTAACTTACTTGAAGTTACTGGGGCCACCAATATAGTCTTTGCTTAGCTTATGTCTTCTGGGTTTTCCTTTCCAATTTGTTATCTCACGCAGTGTTTGAGAAACACAACGTGAAGGAGATGAGACCCTACAGTTTGGTGATCTTGTGGTTGGATGATGAGGCTCAGATAATGGACAAGTTGCCTCAGCTACAGGAGCTGCAAGATAAACAGAAATTTATGTTAAATTAACAATAGTTTTCTTTCTCAGTTTGGGCTAGTTTCAACATAGGGTTAGTAGTTACAAGAACTTCTTGAATCTCGTCCCTAAATTTTCTTCCCCTTAAGATTATTATAAGGTTCAGTCAAGTCATTCTAGGCCACTAGAGCTTTCTGTATTTCTAATAATAGCAAGAGCTACATTATATTAGTATTTTTAAAAGTCGCTTAGCAAGGAGTCAGAGATTAGTCCTTCCAATATTTGAAAAGCAGTTTTCTTTCTTCTTCTCTCCCATTTAAATTGAACTGGAGGCTCTGTTTGCTAAGAATAGCTTTGAATATTTTAATTAAATCATTTGACCAAGGCACTCAAACATTGTTATAGGCAAATAAGTTTTATTAAAAGCTAGAGGTTTTTATTCATTCAATATAATAAAAATAAGAACAAAATTAAACCAAGTGTGGGTAGCATGCATATAAAGAGAAAACACACATATAAAGAGAAAATATATAGCCTAAAGTCTCACAGTCCCCAATTCCTGCAGCCAATATTTTTTTTAAAAATATAGAACTTACCAATAACAACAATGCTTTTAAACAATGTCATTTTCTCACAACACAAAGTATACTCTGCCCCACTACTTTTGGGAGAACAGCTCATGAAAGAGTTTATATAAGAAGGTAAGCAATTAATATATATGTAATTGTACTGCTTTCACATCATCTGTGCCTATTGAATGATAAAGGAACAGTACTGCTAAAGAGTCTGCAGTTGCTGGTTAACACTGCTACAGCCTATTTACAGCTGAGTAGTTTCAGAACTGAGAACTTGGGTCCTCAGCATGGCTCTAATCCTGCATATACAATCAGATAGTCTTGTGGAGATTCCAACTGAAAAAATCTTACACTGATGCCTAGTATTTAGTGTAACAAGTTTTATTGAATACAGTGTTAGGCTTTCTAATTTGATGCTGCCTCCCAGAATAACCCTAAAGAGTCTGGGAGTGCAATCTGATACATGTCTGCTCATAACTAAGCCCCACTGAATCCAATGTATCTCATGCTCAGAAAAGGGTTATGGAATGGCAGCTAGGTGGTTTCTCTGTATCCTGTGCAGTCATGGAGCAACTCTCAACACAGCCATAGGAACTGGCCCTCGATATGAATTCATGACCCTCTTTCACAGCACATTCTGAAATTGGTGAGGTTTGCAATGGACAAGAGAAAACCACTCTTCAGCTGGAGTCTAAGCATGATCCAAGGCTGATACACACTGTGCACAACAGACATGTACTTCAGATGTCTGCCATGCAGATCTTACAGCTGTAACTTTTTGAGGGAGTGCCTTTTGTAAACCCTCCAGGCAAGACAATATTACCTGCAAATGTGCAGGCATCTATCCATCCTTCAAAAGTAAAAATTTTCTTCAGATCAGGTTTATACGGTGAACTCATGGGAAACATGTCTTCTGCTCAAAGGATGGCAATCCTGCTTAAAATATTTGTTCCGCTATCAAACTGCAGGCCAGGATAATTTTAGATTCCAAGTTTGGGGCGTGTCGTCCAGAAAAACATGCTAAACTTATTTTCCTGGCTGCGACACACTTAAGGCAATTCAGGATCGACTCTGAGGGTCAGCCAGGCAAATAATTGTTCATGCAAGTTCTATACTCACATGAGCAGTGAAATGTATATCCAGTTTCATACACATTTCCCCATAATGTGTGCATTTTTGTATACTTCTTTGGTTGTAGAATTGAAGTGCAAAATTCAGAGAAGTGCACATTTTGACAAGTAGCTCCATTATTAGGGAGGTGTGAATTAGGAAGAAGAAGAAGAAGAAGAAGAAGAAGAAGAAGAAGAAGAAGAAGAAGAAGAAGAGGAGGAGGAGGAGGAGGAGGAGGAGGAGGAGGAGGAGGAGGAGGAGGAGTTTGGATTTGATATCCCGCTTTATCACCACCCAAAGGAGTCTCAAAGCAGCTAACATTCTCCCCCACAGTTTGCATTAAAAAGAAAACTGAATTGAATTTCTATCCACCCCAGTCCTGTTCTGTGGAAGAGAGAATTTCAGCAGGTGTTTACCTTTGCTGAAATTCTCTCTTCTACACAACCTTGAAAGGTGCAGGATTCCAGTCTTCCTTTTTTGCCCCAGGCATCCTACTCCTAAGCAATATATCTGAAAACAAATCAGGAAACATGAGCTTAAATTTTCCTCTGTCAACTAAACAGTCAATAGCTGATTTCCCCCCCAGTCCACAGAAAAGGTTTGCCTATGTTAGTTGTTACTTACTCTCGAATCAATGTGCATAAGTCTAAAAGTATAACTGAGTAACTTTCAGCCTCAAAGTATGCTGCAGACAAACACAAGCCTCACTATGCAATCCTAAACATGTTCATTCAAAATTAAGTCATTTATTTATTGCACTTCCATGCCATCTTTTTCTCCAAGGAGCTCAAGGTGGCATACATGGTTCTCCCCCTTATCATTTAATGTTCTATTAAATTCAGTTGGACTTATTCCCTCGCCAGAATGTTTAGGATTGAAGCCTGTGCCATATTAAGTACACCTATTACAGAAGCTAGCACTGTCTGTCCAGTGCCTCTTGAGATAGATCAGGAGTGGTGAAATTTGGATTAAATCTCAACTGAGCCTCTTGACAAGTTGTTGGGTAAGTTACAATTTTTCAGCTTCAGTTCACTGTCTGCAACAACAACGCTCTTCTGAGATTGAGAAATGTGAATGTTATAAAGCTCTTTGCATAGTTAAAATTTGTTTCAATAGTAATATGCAGTGGTACCTCTGGTTAAGAACTTAATTCGTTCTGAAGGTCCATTCTTAACCTGAAACTGTTCTTAACCTGAGGTACCACTTTAGCTAATGGGGCCTCCTGCTGCCGCCGCACAATTTCTGTTCTCATCTTGAAGCAAAGTTCTTAACCCAAGGTACTATTTCTGGGTTAGCGGAGTCTGTAACCTGAAGCGTTTGTAACCTGAAGCGTATGTAACCAGAGGTACCACTGTAATCTACTACAGAATAATAAAGTGGGTTGTCTCAGCCAGCTTCTTGCCTGTTTTTGTTTTGTTTTTAGTGTTGCCGTTCTTGTCTGTGGAGGAAATGCTTTCCTTTCCCTATTTACAGTATAGACCTCTTTTTGTTGTTGATGTGGTTGTGCTAGTTTTCTGTTTAACTTCAACCTACTAGATGCTGGTTTTATACTTTGTAGCCTTTGCTTCTCCTTTCATTCAGTTTTGTCTCTACTCCGATATACACAGTAGAAATCTCACATCACGATGGGCAGAGAACAAGCATAAGGCCAAGCTCCTGTGGTATTGGGCAATTCTAACCATCTAAATCAGAAGACCTTTCAACATGAGTGTGTTGATTGGATTTACTATTTATGAATGATTCAGAGCCGCTTTTGGTTATGATTTAGATATATGGTGGCCTCTAGTGGTGATACGCATGTACACACCCTATAGGGAAACCAGTGTGGTCCATAGGCCTTTACACACAATCTTCAACAGAATGTCACAAATGTAGCACTTGACTTCTGCTTTTTCCTGAAGTCCCTGTTCTGTTGCATTTATATGATACACGGTCTGCATGTAAAAGATGGAAGCCTGTTTTCACTGGGGCAGAGAATAGCACTAATAAACATGAATCTAGCGGGGGGGGGGGGTTCCCTGGCTGTCTTATGTTTAGATTGCATACCATCAGTCTATTTAATTATTTTGCATTAATATGCTGTTCACAACTCTGGGGACATGTGGGGACATGTATAGAAATAAAATATAACATAGTGTTGATGTTTTCTAAAAATCTGACTAGCTGGACACTCCCACAGATGTGACAGGGAGAAGCCAGCCTCCAAAACTTAAAATTATAATACACTGATGATTTACAAAACTATGAGGCCATGCTGCTGTTTTTAATAAAATGGATGACCACCTGTATCTGCTGAGCAAATATACATAGGAATGTGCTGCACTCTACCAATGCCTTTAGCGAGACATACTGAGCTTATACCTTCAGTAATTTAGGCTGCAATCCTATCTCTACTTTTCTGGCCACATGACCTATTGAATTCAATAGGACCTACTTCTGAGCACACACATTTAGGCTCACACAGTTAGCTGTTGATGTATACACTGTACCTTTAAAGCACAATGGAAACACATTCCTCCCCCACCACCACCACTGCCAAAATAATAATAATAATAATTATTATTATTATTATTATTATTATTAGGGGACAGCAATTTGCTAAGAGTTGCTAGTAACTCTGTGAGGGATAAACTACAGTGCCCTAGAGAAGAAGAATGTGCTTTGAATGTGCTCAGGTTTATGGCAGGTGAGGGTGGCTTGTCCAAAATTGTCTTGTGCACCCAATGGGGAATCTGGTGCGCCAGGATTGGCAAGTGGGCAACAGGTTCTCCACTCCTAGTATTGTGTGTACGTAGCTACCTGCATTGTGTTGAACCAAAGGTGAACTGTTCCGGAAACTCTGCAGATGCCATCTTGATAGTCAAGATAACCCCACAATTAATTGGTAGTTGTTGTAGCAGTGAGCTCATATATGCTTATGTTCACTTGCTTTGATATAGGCCAGGGGTCAGCAACCTTTTTCAGCTGTGGACCGGTCCACTGTCTCTCAGACCATGTGGTGGGCTGGACTATATTTTTTTTGGGGGGGGGGGATGAACAAATTCCTATGCCCCACAAATAACCCAGAGATGCATTTTAAATAAAAGGACACATTCTACTCATGTAAAAACACGCTGATTCCCAGACCGTCCGTGGGCTGGATTGATAAGGTAATTGGGCCGCATCTGGTCCACGGGCCTTAGGTTGCCTACCCCTGATATAGGCTAATTGGCTTGCTTTGATGGTATCCTTATCTAGGGGCTTGGGGTGCTGTGCTTTGAACCCAGAAAGGGGAACAACTATCTGTAAGATTTGGGTATTTGCCACCTATGCCCTCATCTGGTCAGGTGGCGTGAT